AGCCTAGAAGAATCTCGTCCCTTGACTCTCCCTAAAGCTGACCTCAGAACCCAATCTAAACTAAAATACCTCTCCACTCTGAAAAAGGAGGAGATCTATTGGTATCAAAGGTCTAGGGTCAACTAGCTTAAAACAGACGACCACAATACCCGCTTCTTCCACAGGATTGCTAATTGTCGTAGGAGAGACAATACCATCAAAGTTAACAACTATTTTCTCGAACAGCCGGCAAAGATTGAATCTACAATCATCACTTATTTCCAGAACCTTTACACTGCGCCTTCTGGCCCTAAACCTCCCATGGCTGACATAGATTTCCTGACCCTCTCCGATGAACAGGTCATGTGGTGAGAGCGTCCTTTCCTCGAAGAGGAAATTCTCAAAGCTCTAGATGATCTTGTTGAAGACAGAGCTCTCGGCCCTGACAAGTTTCTGGTGGCCCCTTTTAAGACCTTTTGGGAGACTTTTCGGTCTAATTTCTTAAGCTTCTTTACTGAGTTTTTTCAGCGAGGGATTCTTAACAAATCCATCAACGCTACGTTCATCGCCTTGGTCCCTAAGGTTGAAGGGGCAAAGGAACTTAAGGACTTCCGTCCCATAAGTTTGCTCAACTCCTCCTATAAAATTCTTTCAAAGGTTCTGGCCACTCGGCTTCAGCAGGTCCTGCCTTCGATCATCTCCCCCCCACAGTCAACCTTTATCAATAATAGAAAAATCCTTGATGGGGTCTTGATAGCAAACGAATGCTTTCACTCGAGACACCTAGCCAAAAAACACGGTCTCATTTTTAAGATTGACTGGGAGAAGGCCTATGACCATGTTGACTGGTCGGTTTTGAATGAGACTATGGCCCGTATGGGCTTTCGAGATCACTGGCGAAAGTGGATGAGGGGGTGTTTTTCTCACCCATGATTCTCTATCCTTATCAATGGTACTCCCAAAGGATACTTCCAATCCTCGAGAGGCCTACGGCAAGGGGATCCGCTTTCCTTCTTCCTTTTCGCAATCTGCAATATGCAGATGACACCTTGGTCTTCCCTATCGCCTCCCCCTCGGAGGTGGAAAACCTAAGAATCTACCTCAAGTGTTTCCAGAGGGCCACTGGATTCAAGGTCAACATGGTGAAATAAAAAATGATGGGTATTGCCATCACCACCAACAGTATCAGAGAACTAATTCCAGAATGAGAATGCAAGGTGGAGGACCTCCCAACTTCATACTTGGGCCTTCCCTTAAGACTTGGAAAACCTAAAAAGAACCACTGGTCCCACGTTTTAGATAAGGTAGATAAAAGGTTGGCTGGTTGGAAAGGGAGGTATTTGTCTCAAGCAGGTAGAACCACCCTTATCAAAGCTACTCTAACCAATGCAACAATATATATGATGTCCCTATTTCAAATACCGGCCTCGGTGGCTAACGCCTGGATCAGCCCATGAGGAACTTCCTCTGGTCGGGACAAGCTGATAAAAGTAAATTTCATCTCGTCTCCAAGGACAAGGTCCTTGTACCCAAAAATCAAGGGGGGCTGGGAATTAAAAACTTGAGAAAACACAACATTGCCCTTTTAGGGAAATGGTGGTGGCGTTTGGCGGCCACCCAAACTGAATCTCTGTGGGCGCTCAGGTACTTCGGAATAAGTATAATACTCCGATCCAGTCATGGATCCCAGAGACCAGACCTTGGACCAATGCTTCAGGGGGGTGGAGGTCCCTAATGGCATACCTTGATTTATTTAGAAAACACATTAGACTCTGCCCAAGAGTTGGTAATAGAGTGAGATTTTGGACTGACATATGGATAGGTCATGCCCCCTTAAAGGAAACTTATCCTTTTATGTTCCCAGTTGCGGTGAATAGAAATACAACCGTTGAGGATGAGTTCAGAGTCGAAGGAGGAAGAAGACGCTGGAACCCCTCTTTCAGAAGGAACCCTTCTGAGGGGGAATCTCTTCAATTCCTGTCTCTATCGTCTCTGCTCTACAACACTTTTATCCCGGTCCAGGGAAGGGACAAGTTGGTGTGGCCCTTACCCCTTTAGGGGATTTTACTGTGACTTCCTTCAACAAAAAGCTCATCCAACCCCCCACTTTCCCCCTCAATCCTACGTCGATCCTTGCACAAGTTTGGCTGACCATTGCACCCCCAAAGGTGCAAACTTTTAACTGGATCGCAGGTTCAAACAGGGCACTCACAGTGGATCACCTACAAAGGAAAGGAATTCCTATTCCTAATAGGGGTGTCATGTGTTTGTGCCAGGAATCCAATAACCACCTGTTTCTGCACTGTAACGTGGCTCATGAGATTTGGAGTCTAGTTCCAACTGTTTAGGGTGCTTTGGGTTTTACCTCCAACGGTAAAAGACCTTTTCGCTTTGAATCCGACTGTGCATTGGCCGAAGGAGGGTAGAATCCTTTGGAAAGCAACTTTGGCAGCAACAATTTGGACCATTTGGAAAGAGATAAATGGGCGTATTTCGGGGACAAGTCTTCCCTGCTCCTTCGCTATTCTCGAAGGTTACATCCTTAGTAACCTTCTGGGTGGCTAACCACCCCTGCTTCAAGGGCATTCTTATGGACTCTTTCTGCCGGAATTGGGAGCATATTTTATTCCACAACCCAAAGAAAAACAAAGTTAAATCACATACTCTCTTTGTGGAGGGCGACGCTTCTCCCCCTTGGTACCTCATGCCTATTTATGACAAAATTGAACATCTTTGCAGGGATACGCCAATCTTATGGACGCCTATCTCAAGGACGTCGAATGGGCCGATCTACTAGCTAAGGACGGAGCCATGGCTTGAGCTGAAGATTTGGCACTATAGCGGCTTGTTTTTGGAATGGGCACAAAGCTTGCACCCTACTCAAACCCCTTCCGGACTGGATCCTTTTTTAGCTTTACTTATACGGTCCTGATTGTATCTTTTTTGTACATCTACAGTTCACTTTGTAAGGGGAAATTCTTATAACCCCATTTTGTATACGGTCTGTTGACCTATTCTTTTTACCAGGAGTCGTAAGTGTTAGGCACTCTTGGATTAAACTTCTTCTCTTGTATCTATCATTTCATATCTATACAATTGTTGACAGTTATTAAAAAAAAAAAAATGTGGCCTTTATATATTGCATGGCATTCAACGGATGATAGGTTTTTTTATATAAAAAAAAAAAAATTGAAGGAGAAGAGAATTAATAGATTGATGGAATCTATTGTTGTATAAACTAATAAACATTAACTTGTAAATTCCAATTGAATGATGAGCAGATCACCATAACCGCCCTACAATAATAAATAAAGATCCATTTTCTCATATATACATAAATCTGTTTTGACTACTATTATTGCAAATAACAATTCAAGAGTAGCACTTGCCATCCATCATGCGCATACATATGCAGATAACTAAAAAAAACATAGCCTAGAAGTCACTAAAAAAAAATGCTCAATCACTTTAGCGAAAACCCTCAACCACTCCTAAAATACAGTGAATGTGACAACAAGTGATAGCGACCTAAGGTCCAAAGACCATTCCATTTCAATCTGTAAATTCAAGTTTGAATACAATCCGCAGTATTCAATCATAATGAACCTACAACTATTGCATTACAATCTATTGTCAACCTGAGGCAACAACTTGTAAGTGGTTTTGCAACCATATCTATACACTAGTTTCATCTAAAAGCAGATCAAAGAATGATATTTATGAATGCCGTATGGAAGAAGAATTAGAAGAGTGGGGAATGTTAAGGCTATAAATGTTTGTTGATATTATTGGTATAGATGGACCAAGAAGAGAAAAAAGGAATATATTGTTCAAAAATCAAAATACCCTCCATAAACTTATGTGTCAATGTAATTAAGAATAAATATAAACGGTTCGACAGCCTTCGCCCATGTATACAACAATCAACAATATCCCACCCTAAAGAAATGAACTGCGAACAGTAAACAATCAACAATACTCATAAATGAACCGTCAACAAAGCCTTATCTTTCAAACTTTAAGTAAAGAGTGGCATTGTAAGAAAGTAAGTGCAGCTGAAAAGAACTTCAAATTCAGCCAAGTAGTGCGTCCATTTTCTTGTAGGAATCAGAAGGGCATTAGAAGGCTACAACAAAGACACATATTTCCAATGCATAACAAAGTACTCATTATAACAAAAGTTGTGATCTAGTAAATAGCCACTGGAACAACTTAAGTTGTAATCCACTCTGCATTACATCAAGCGGGGAAATTCACAACACAACAAATTGGTTTAAGCCCATGAATGTTCTCAGACGATAGAATTTACTTTTTGGGTGCAATAACGTTCAAGTAATCTAGAGCTTGCTTTATAGCCCTAAATATTAAGTGTAAAGATTATAGACTAACACAATTCTTATAATATTTCTATCAAGTGTGAAAAAGCATTTAGAGGCAGATTGAAAAAGAACCCAGAGTGGATAGAGAATTCAAGGAGCACAATGTGATCTAAATTTCAGCCAAATGCACCACGTCCCACAATCCCCCCCCAGTTAAAAAAAAAAAAATGTGTGTGTGTATGTGTGTGTGTGTGTGTGTGTGTGTGTGTGTGTGTGAGAGAGAGAGAGAGAGAGAGAGAGAGAGAGAGAGTATTACAACGAACTACAGTAGTAATAGAACGTAAGGTTAAGGACGAAGTCGCGACACGACAACTGACTAATTATACGAACTACAAATAAGTAAATTAACGAAACA